CAAAAAAAAAGAAAGAGAGAGAGAGAGTGGCTCAAGTGGTAGAGCACCTGCTTAGCAAGTGCAAGGCCCTGAGTTCAAACCCCAGTACAAAGAAAGAGAGAGAGCAGACTGAAATAACCTAACCTCTCCGAACCTCAGTTTTCTTTCTGTAAAATGGAGACCATAACTGCCTCTATATCAGGGGATGTTTTGAAGATTTGGTGAAAAAGTGCAGTCTAGAGCTTGGGAATGGAGTAGCCAGAAGTAAGTGCTCAATAAAGGGTAGCCAGCTGCTATTACCTTCAAGCCGTAAATTGGGCACCATCCCCTATCTCTGCCAAGGAAAGTCCTACATTGTAAGGGAATAAAGGAAGCCTAAGTGTTATTATTTATTTATTTATCTTCCTGTGAAGGAAAATGGGTGCTTGGCAAGAGGCTCATCCCTGCCTTCTGCCCAGCCCCTGTGGGCACTAAGCCAGGGCGGGTCATTAGGCTACTAAAGCAGCCACTGGCTGGGAAGGCCAAGAACTGCTGGAAGACCACGATCATGAGGGAAGGTCGCCAGGCGGCGAGCCAGCAGAGTAAGGGGCAGGCGCCTGCAGCCTGCGGTCCGCACCCCAGCGGGCAACAGTCTTCAGACTGGAGCCAGGTAGGAGAGGGAAAAGCTGAGGCTCAATTTCCCTGGCCCCTCCCCACCCTTCACCGCAGTAAACATCAAGCTTCAGTCTCTCTTTTGGTGAGCTCTCAAAAACAGAACGTCCACAGGATTCGGGGGAGGTGATTGCGAGGGAAGGGAGCAAATTTGCAGGGGCCACATCACACTCCTGGATGCAAAGACTCAGCTGTACAGTCAGGGAGTTTGGGGAACCAGAAACTGAGGTTGGGGCCCCAACCTAAATTCGTGACCCAAGTTCCACTGGGCTGGTATCCAGCAGTTTCACGAGGGATCTTGACCTGGGCCAGGGTGTATCTGCCCTGTGGTAGAAACCTTGGGGCTCCAGTGTCCACTGATCCAGCAGTTACAGTTGACATCATTAATCTGTTTTTGAGATGCTTTGGACCGTGAGATTTGAGCGGGAGGCACGAGCGTCCACAGAGCGGGGGAAAGTGGGCCTCCTGTTCACTGGGCAGCCAACGCTAAGGCGGCGGCAAGTGAAGGTCCTGTCCTCATAGACTGGAGTAGAGGACATTTAGGGATGCCTGAGGGAACTCAGGTCTTCCTGAGGCCCCGTCTGACGTTTTCTCGGTTTCCAGCATTATGCCACCAGGAGCCGACCCTGGACGCCTCCTCAACTCCGAACTTTCCGCAGCCGAACTGTAAGGACCAGGGATCGCTCTGCCCAGGTCCCAAGCCGCTCCAGGATCAAGGCTCCGTCACGGTCATCTTCCTGCCCCGAAGCGCCCAGCACAGGTCGGCTGGTGTCGGGAGGTGAATCACCCGACAGATGGAATTGAATTCTGTCTACGCGGGCTCATCTTAGGAACCAGACTGGAAAAACCTCGATTTCCTGTCGCAAGAGGAGGTCTTTGTTGTGGCTAAGCCGGCCCAGCCCTCCGCAGCAGGGGATCTGGGTCCATTGCTGGGTCAGCTCCATCCGAAGCCCCACCCTGGACTGTAGTGTCTCCTTTTAAATCTAGAAACTAGGCTCTTAGGGCTGGGCGGGGGAAGAGGGGGACACAACAAGGCTGAAGCCCTAAGGCAAGCGGGGTGGGAGTGTCCTCAGGCTGTCTGGCTGCCTTCCTGCCTGGCTCCGAATGGAGGTTGCTTCTCACCGAGTGTGAAACCACTGACCAGCGCCTCTTCCTCCTTTCCCCCCAGGACCAATCATATGGGCTTCACAGGCCTAATGGGGCGAGGAGGACGATCACCCCCTCCGGCCTCCATCTTCTAAGACTGTAGAAGCCGCTCTGTGAAGGGGCCGGTTTAGCCATATTTGAGGTTCTAACCTGGATTCAAACTGAGGTTGAGGATTTAAGAGAGGCTGTGCGCGCACAATGGAGAAGGCTCACTGCTTCGCCCACCCCCTGGAGGCCTTCAGCCTCCAGGCCTTTGAAAAATACTGTTCCACAGTTTCTTCCTGTCACTGGAACTGCAACCTGCACGCCCCACCCCATTCCCACCGCCAAGATGGTTCAGGCACACTGCACCCTCTACAGAGCCCTGGGGATCCAGGGTTTGTAGATCTACTCGTCTGTAAAATGGGAATAAGAGGAGAACCTCCCTCGTAGAGTTGTGAGCAGCACTTAGAAGCGCCTGGCACGTAGTAAACGCGCAATACCTATTATAAATAAAAATAATGGCTTTCACTTTTAGCAGCCACATCTGCCATTTTTAACCTGCACAAATACAAATAGTCGTCAAACAGCCTCGTCAAGGGACGTATTTCTAACCCTCAAGTCATTGATTAAGGAACTGACACCTAGAGAGGAACCCTAACTTGCCCAAGGCGGTTTAACTGAGCTGGATCTGCATTCGCACCCAGGGCAACCTCTCTCCTCCACCCTCGAGGGGGCTGAAATTGAGCCAAGCCGCCACACGGCGACCCTGCGTTCCCTTGGTGGCCTAGCGGAGTGAATCTTCTCTGCCAGGCAACCAAAAATAGCAACCATCAAGAGCCCAGACCCGGACCTAGGCCAGCCCCTGCCCACCTGGACAGAGAGAGAGCTGGAGGGGGTGAGAGTGACCCGAAGAGGGGGTAGGGGGGGTCACGCGGGGGCGGGGCAGGACCCCCCCACGTGCGCCGCCTGCAGCCGCTTAGAGAAGTCCTTTGTCGCGAGCAGCCGCGTTCGTGCCGCACTCGGCGGCTTAAAATAAAGACAATGTTCCCAGCCTCCCTGCGGCTAAATCGGGCGCGTGTGCGGGGGTGGTGAGCGAGCCGGGCGGGAGCGCTTCTCCCGGCGCAACCTCCCTTCCCCCTTCTGCCTCAGTTTCCCCATCCGGTAAGAGGGACCTAGCCAAGTCCAGGGGAAAAAAAGTAATGCAATAACTGGCTGGGGGAGTCTGTATACCCCTGCCTCCTCGGTTGCACAGACTTAAGGGAGCCGCATGGGACAGAGGGAGGCACTGAGGAGGAGGCAGAGGAAAGCTGGACACCCTTCCCTCCCGCCCACAAAATAAGTGTTTTTATTTCTAAAGGGACGTGTGCAGAGGAGGTGGGAGAAGAGAAAAGGGAGACCAAGGAGATTAGGGGGAAGGGGCAAGGAGGGAGCCTGATTCAGACTCGGAAATGGATGTTGAGCGTGGAGGCCTAACACCCCCACACTTAGCCACGTGTACGCACACAAGTACACTCAGCCCCACCGCGCGCATAAGCCGCAGCCGAAAACCCAAGGATGGCCCAGCAGGGGGCAGCCCACCGTAGGGAAGGTTGAGTTCAGACCCAACCCTGACCTGCTTAGTAACACTGAGAAGGGAGAAGGAGCTGCTCAGATTTTTTTCCAAACTACAGCTATCCATCTAACTTCAGTAAGGAAGCACACTGTGTGCTTGCTGGAGCCCCACCTTTCCAAAAATATAGGTGTTCCACAAGTACCTGTGACCTGTGCCCACCACTGGCACCTCATGGTTACTGGCCAAGCCCCAGGGACTCCAATTTCTATTCTACCTGGCTCCTTAGGCAATTGGGCTCCTAAATGAGAAAACCCCAGGATATCTTCAGCAGTGTGTAGGGGTGCTTGGTGGAAGAAGAGGAAAGGAGTGATGCAGGGACCCCAGCCCTGTGCCCCAGATTCCAGAGCCCTGGGCTTAGAGTCCTGGGACCGAATTCCAAACAGTTGTCCACCACACACTCATCTCACTTCTGCTCTTCACCTTTCTCATTTCTCCTCTACATTAATTGGAATATGATTTTGATCCTTCCCAACCTCCCACTCCAGGGCTCCAGCATAGCCCAAGGGGCAAAGTTCTCAGCCCCAGCCAGCAGTCATGGTAGCCTCCCCAATTGTCCTCCATTGTTAACTCCCCAGGAGGTCTCTCAAGCCAGCCCAGGGCAGTGCAGAACCCAGGTCTCTACGGCAAAGTGCCCCCCAGCGGTTCTATCTCTGAGGAAACTCTACACAGAAATTCAAGCCAGCCTAGGAGGAGGGGTGCTGTCCAAGCTTAGGGCTGAGGGAGGTGGGGAGGCACGGCTTGGCACTTCCCAGGTACACACCTGTGAGTTCTGAGTGGGAGTCAAGGGAGACAGAGTTTGACAAGTTGGGTGGAGAGCTGTCTGTCTGTCTGTCTTCCAAGGGGAAGCTGGGGGTGGAGCAGGCAGGGAGTTAGAGGCTGCCTCACTTGTCAGAATTAGCAAATTCCACAGTTGGGCAACACTCAGACACTTGGAATACAGACACACACATGCACAAGCGTCCTGCCTCCAGACGGACAGGGTCACACCTGCATTTACGCAGACCGCATGGTGACATGAGTACACAGGGATGCACACATGCCGAGCATTCAGCAACACATGGAGCAATCAGATGCCCCACCCCCGCTCATCCCCGCCAACCTGACACCCATGTACCCTCACAATGGGACTCTACAGTCATAGGCAGATACCAGAGCACACAGCCCAGCATGCGGGCGCACGTCCGCTCAGCCCTGGGCGGGTGCGCCAGCCCTCTGGGTCTGTTCCAAGTTGGAGCCTCTCACGTGAGGCCCAATGTGTCATTTCCAAACAGAAGGAATCTAGCTTCCTCGCAGCAGGGAAGAGCAGGGTGTGTGGCTGGGTGGGTGGGTGGGCGCGTGGGCATGTGCAGTGGGAATGGCATGTGTGAGAAGGAAGCAGACATGTGAATACCGGGGCATGTGTGTTGGGACATGGAGCACACGGGTTGGGGGCTCTAAGGTTGAATAGGGGAAGGAGCCCAGAGAAACAGAGTGTGCCTTTGTGAGGGTGTGTGTGTGTGTGTGTGTGTGTGTGCCACTAAGTCTGTGTGCAGTGGGTGTGGGTGTTTGCCTCCCTGTATCCGCCTTCTCACCCGTCCTGGACTTTTAGCCTTCCTGGGCTCTTCCTCCTCATGTCTTGCCTCCTCCCTCTTGAGGCTCAAAGTGGGGGCTCTAGTGGACAAGGGGGGCACGCTCCAGGACTTATTCCAACCCCAGATGCTGCCTGAGGCTTCCCTCCAGCTCCCCCTCCCTTCTTTTCCTCCCTTTTCTCCCTCCCTCTCTTTCCCTTCCTCCCTCCCCCTCCAGGCTGGCGTGCCAGGGGGTGGGACATGCCAATCACTGGCTGTGCCTCTCCCGCTGCCAGCACAGGGCGCAGCTCCCCCCCGGGAGCCAGGTGTTTGGGTCCCAGGAGACACCACCGGCCCCTGGAGAAGCAGTGGAGCTGAGGACCCTACAGACCCCTCTCCAGCCCCATGGTGAGTACATTTAGGTGGGCTTGGGAGGGGCAAGAAAAGCAGGGTCCTCAGGAGCAGGGCAGGGACCAGGATGAGACAGATATGGGGGTGGATGCTGGAGAAAGGAGGCGGCCAGGGAGGGGTCTAGAGGCCAAGGGTGCTCTATAGCATTGGACATTGGCCGCTCCTGGATATATCTGATGTTTTTTGGGCTTCATCTGGCAAAGGAGATGGAGACCCCCTTAGAAAACTGGACCTGGAACCCAGAGGGATTAGGCTGTCATATAGCAGGCAGAGCCCCAGGGCAAAATGAGAAGGGCAGGGGACAGGAGATAGCCCTTGCCACCATCATCCTGTTGAAGGTTGATTACCCCCCCCTTTTGGGGGGGGTTGCCAGTCCCAGAACCTCCTTCTCTCCTCAGGGCACTCTGAATCCCACTACCCCCATCCATCTTCAGCCCCCCCAAGATGGACTGAACCAGGCTGCTGGCCAGATGGACAAGCTGGATGCCAAGGTGGGTGTTGGGCCAGAAGCCAGCAGGAGACCAGGCAGAGAGTCCCAGGGCTCTTTGGGGACAAATAGGCACATAGACAGCCACACCAGCCAGGAAATGTAGCCCTGACATGTGCAGGGGACCAGAGGCCCTCTCTATATTTTTAGTATCTCAGATTTGCACAGGGCAATATATGGATAGTTATGGGCACCTGTGCCAGGTACTTGCCCAGTGCCCCAACCTCACAATGAAGGGATGAACCAGGGCCAGAAATTCTGGTTCTTGCAATGTTGCCAGCTCTTTGACAGACAGCTGGGGAGGGGGCAATCAGCTCCATTAGGTCATTCAGACATGGGCACTTTAGGGATTATCAATGCCATTGGAGAGGGATTCACCTTTTTCCCACAATACACACCTGCAGCTCTCCCCAGACTGATCCTACAAAACTGGCAGTCTCCCACAGCCAGACTCCTGTGCCTGGGTAATCACTGAGCTACAAGATGAAAGTTCTTTGCTCCTTGACCTCAGCCACTAAGCAAAGCATGATCGCTACTGAGATATGAAAGGCGAGGAGATGGTAAAATGGGTAGGCAGAAGATGTGACTCTTCTTTCCCCTAGTGGGCTGGTGACTGGAGACCTGGGAACTGGATACTGAAGTGCAATGGGAAATTTAAAGTGCCAAGGAGGGGCTAATCGAGACTTCCCATTGTGTGGATGAAGAGACTGAGGTTGAGAAAGGGGAACGGACAGGCTCATAGCCCTAGAAGGAAAATTGGGTCTTGTACCCCATTCTCCTCAACTCTCACACTACACTGTGCTACCAACTCCATGAGCAGGAGGATGGGATGAGGAACAGGAGACACGGCATGCTTTGTGAGGCAGAAGCTTGGGCTCCAGGCAGGCAGGCAGGCGGGGAAGAAGTGGGTGAATCTCACTGGGTTTCTGCTCTGCTGTGATGCCATGGTGATGCCTAGAAGGATGGGGGAGGGAGGAAGATAAAAGAAAGGAAAAAGGGAGGGGAGTGCAAGGAGTGAGGAGCTGGGGGCATGCAGGGAAGAGGATAAGGGGGACCCAGCACTTCTGATGCCACACTGACTGAGTGAGGTCTAGGATTCAGCCTGCTTTGGCAAGGTCTGACTAAAGATGGTCAACTGATTAAGGTCCATTATGGGTGAGCAAATTTGGCAGTGGTTCTAGGACTGAAGATACTCTTCCAGCTCAGCATTGTATTTATGAAGCATTTAACTGATGATGGCTGCTGCCTTCCACGGGGCTAGCTGGCACTCCCAGTGGTGACTTGAGCCTGAAAATATGATTAATTCTATTTGTCTAGTCACTCATTCCCAAGGCCAGGTATCAGGGGTGGAAGTTTTATGTACCTTTAATGGATCAAGAACCACCTTCAGAGAAAAGCTAACCCAGGGAAAGATAGCTGCCTGAGAAAGACTGGTTCTGGGTTAAGGCTGCAGCAGAAGGGACCAGTCAGGAGCCCTGACTAGGAGTGCCCTCCTTACTGCATATGTGAAGTTTCACATGCCCAGCCCCACAGTCCCTCTACTGCCTTCTCCCTAACACTGTTCCTTTGCCCCAGTGAGGATTTTCTACCAGCCCAGAATGACAAGCTTGTTCCATTCCCTCCTAAACCTCTTGCCAGCAAACTGTTATCATTCCCTGACTCCCCCTTTCCATTCCTTGACCAGTGGTAAAGCTCTGGAAAACCTAGTGTTCAGGAATCCCTCTCCCCCGCCTCTCTCTCCTGCCTCCCCCAGTGTTTCTCTCCCTTCCTTCTTCCTCTCACCAGCCAGATCCCCAGTCCCTAGGGATTGGTCCAGGGCGCTGGCGGTCAAGTCTGGCCTGCCTTGCAGTAGAGGCTCTGACCTCAATTCTTAACTCTTTGAGCTCAGGCTGACTTACACCTTACACATACACACACATACACACACACACACACACACACACACACACACAACACACACACACACTGACAGGCACCCTCTCACATCCATGCCCGTCTTGAACCTCACAGCTCCCTGTAGCTAGGTAAGGCAGGATTTACTTGGTCCATTTTACAGATGAGGATGCTCTTGGCTGATTTTCTCCCGTGTCCTCATACCAGAGCAGAAACCTGGCAGATGAGGGGATATAGTATCAAAGGGACCCCCTAGACCTTGCTCTGGAGCTGCTCCTAACCCCCACAGGCTCATTTTCATGATCCAGGGCCTGAAATCAATAAGGAGGATCCCATGTACACATTCAGATATTTATTCACAAATATTTATTGAGCAAATTCTATGCAAGCCCCAGGTTAAAGCAGTGAATGAAGCAGACGGAGCCCCTATTTTGCCTCTCTCTCAAAGAGCTATGGCTAAACCTCCTCCTTCCCCAGCACTGTCATCATACATCACACAGATAGATGATAGGCTCTCACATACACAAGCCATATTCTCACTGTTGACTGATTCAAACTAAGCTTTGACCAAGCTAGTTGAGTCAGGCAAGAAGACTGATAAGTAGCCCCATTCCCTCAAGAATAGTTTAGAGTAGAAGTCAGAGAAGTTGGTCTCAGAGGCAGACTGATGGGGTCCAAATTCTTGTAACAGTGCTGATGAGCTTTCAGGTCCTTAAGGCTTTGAAGTCTTAGTTGCCTCTTTTACAAATTGGAGATAATAGACCCTGTTTCACAAGGAGATGTAACAGGTAAATTAAATCATGTATATAATGCATAGAGCCATGTCTGGTATATTCAAGCAGTCAGTAAATACCAGTTGCTATGATAATATTAGTAATATTATTAAGGGCTCCCAACAGCCTTCATCAGGAGGCCACAGCCCTGGGCAGAAGAGCACCTCCCTGCTTCCTTGACAACTTCCTATACCTCAAACATGACACCCCCCAAGAATGAGTCCATTCCCAGAAACCCATGGAATCACCCCCACCACTCCCTAGTCTCACTCAGCAATGCACACACCCTTATACACAAAAACACTCGTGCCAGGATTCACCCCCACCCCATACAAGAGTTCCCAGGTCAGGATGGTGACTTGCACAAGGCCACATAGAGAGACAAGAGCTTGAAGCCAAGGACAGCCTTGGGGAGTCACCTCAACCCAATGCACTCCCCTTCAGCCACTTCCCCCATACTCAATGCCAAGACTGCTGTGAGCCACAATGCCAAAAAGTGCTCTGCAGCTTCAAAATAAGATAGCTAACCCTAAGCCCTTCCTTTGTAAAAATTTTGGAGCCACCACTGAACCCCAGTACCCTAACTCTCAGCACTGGACTGGTCTCCCCAGAGGAATCAGCCACAATCACAGGAAACTAAGTTCATTCACAACCACACTCCTCCAGTAGCCTTGAACAACAGCTAGTGGATTGTCCCCAACCAAGTGTTAAGAAGAGAAGATAAAAAAAAAAAAGTTAAGGGCTGGAGGTATGGCTCAAACTGTAGAGTGCCTGCTTTACAAATGCAAAGCCCTGAGTTCAAACCCCAGTCCCATCAAAAAAAGAAAAAAAAAAAAAGTTAAGATTTTCCCAAGGTCACACAGCAGGGACTAGAGCAGGTCTCTAGGAACCTTTTGAACTCTTTCATTGTCCATGAGGGTTTGGGGAGTGAAGACCCCTGTTCTAATTGCAGAGGAAAGGCAGAGTCTGTTCTTAGGGTGCATCTCATGGAGCACAAGGTGATTAGAATCGGACTTCAGTTCCTTAGAACTTCTGCCCCTCCTCTTCCCCTGCCCTCCGCCCCATCTGTGGGAGGCTGTAGCCCTCAAAGCTCATAGGTGGAGCATAAAGAGTTCAGTGAAATGGAAAAAACACAAGCCATTGAGGCCACAAGTTTTGATCAGAATCCCAATGCCACTACTTCCTTTGGGACCATCAAAAAGTCACTTAGCCCTCTTAGCCTCAATTTCCTTAGCTATACCATAGAGATAAGAACCCCCAATTGGGATGTCCATTGGGTGTCCTGTAGATTAAGATAAATAATATACACCGAGTGCCTGGCATGAAGGAGATATTAATGGTTATCAATACGACTTTTTTTTCTTTTCTTTTCTTTTCTCTTTTTTTGCAGTACTCAGGGACTACATTTGAGCCACTCCACCAGGCCTTTTTTGTGGTGGGTTTTTTTCAAGATTGGGTCTTGTGAACTGGGCTGGCTTCAAACTGTGATCCTCCTTATCTTTTGCCTCCTGAGTAGCTAGGACTACAGGCGTGAGCCACCAGTGCCCAGCTGATATGACCATTCAAATAGGAGAGTTCGGACTGGTGGCACGGCTCAAGTGATAGAGGGCCTGCCTAGCAAACGTGAGGCCCTGAGTTCAAACCCCAGTGCTGCGGTGGCGGGGGGTGGGGGGACAGAGAGAGAGTCAGGAAAAATAGCAGGATGTCTTCTTCAGGACCTCACACCCATTGGCTGGGTATGAGGGGAAGCAGAGAAATGAAAGGTTAAGGGATTACTGATGGTCACACAGCAAGGAAGGCACAGCACTGAGCTTCACTCCCAGGGCTGTGGGCCACAATGCCAAGACTGCTGTGAGTTGAATGAGGTTCTTGCCTGGGAGCAAAATTTAAGAAAGGATCACAGAGGCTAGGGTTAGTACAGTGATAGAGTACCTGCTTAGCCCCTGGGTCCAATCCCCCGCACCACTAAAAGGGCGGTGAGGGGGGGCACCAAAAAAAAAAACTCATTAGCTCAGAGAAAAAATATTGTAATATGACATTTTTTTTCTCCTCAGCTATACCAGTATTTGAACTCAGGGCCTTGTGCTTGCCACTTGAGCCACACTCTTAATCCTTTTTCTTTTGTTTTTTTTTTTAAATAAACCTGAACCTATTACATTTCCTGTGCAGCTGGGATAACAAGTGTGAGCCATCATGCCTAGCTTTTTTTTTATTGAAATGGGGTCTTTTGGACTTTTTGCCCAGGCTGGCTTAAACCACTATCCTCCCAATCTCTACCTCCCATTAGCAAGGATTATAGGCCTGAACCACCACATCTGGCCTAATACAACATTTTTTTTTAATCAATGAACAAGCCCGGCATAGTGGCACACCTCTGCATTCCCAGCCTCAGGAGGGTAAAGCAGGAGAATCATGAGCTCAAGGCCAGCCTGGGCTACATAGTAAGACCCTGTCTCAAAAAAAAAAAAAATCAGGCTGGAAATGTGGCTCAAGAGGTAGAGAACCTGCCTAGTAAGGCAAAGACCTGAATTCAAACCCCAGTACCACCAAAAAAAAAAAAAATTAATAAATAAAATAACAAACTACAACCCATGGGCTAACTATCTCTTTTTGTAAATAAAGTTTCATAGGAACCAGGGCCAAGTTTAGCGTGAAACAAGTGAGACAGGGTGTGCAAGTACAGGACTGAATCCTGCCTTCCACATTTTGTTCATCATGAATTTTTTGCATTAACTTTCTAAATATTTCATTAAAACATTAGTTTCTTGTTTACTGAGTTTTGGGACACCCCTTAAATTTTGTACCCAAGGTGAGTCCCTGACTGGCCTCTCTGTAGTCCTGAGCCTGGAGTGGTATAAGGTGCTAAGCTTTGAAGCCTGCACACGCCCTGACAAATATAAGACCCTGCAGGTGGGAGGGTGCAGCCTCTCCACCCAGTGAGCTCCCCTGGTCTGTCTCTGCCTTTGCAGGTCTTTGCCTAGAACCCAGGGATGCTGCTTCAAGGTCCTTGAGGGGTGAGGGGATGGTATAGCAGGGAAACACCCAGGCTAGGAGCCAGGAAACCTTCAGCCAGATGATGCCTTCTGCCCCCTTTTCTCTGAGCCTCAGATACTCCCTTTGTGCAATGGGCATTAAACAGCCCTGAGTTCAGAAAGTCAAAGGGACAATAGTCATGCTGGGCAAATTCTCAAGGGTAACATTCACCAGCAACAGACTGGGGAAAGCTCCAGCCTGATTTCAGTCTCTAGTCTAGTACCTGACTTTAGTTAAATGGATTGCAACAAAACTCAGGAATCAAGATAAATCATTTTTAATGCAATGTTTTTAAATTCAAATTGGTAAACTCTAGCCTCCAGGCCAGTCATCAGATCTAGCAAATGAAGTTTCATTGGAACAAACCACTTGGGTTCAAATTCTGGTTCCTACCTTACTTGTATGATCTTGTGCAAATTCTCTTTCTGTCTCAGCGTCAGCTTCCTCATCTGTAAAATGGAGATGACAATAATGTTTAGGTCATAGGTTCCTGTTAAGATTAAATTTGGACTGAAGAATCTAGCTCTGTAATAGAGCTCTTGCCTAGCATGCACGTGGCTCCATGCTTGATCCCAGCACTGCAAATTAATTAATTAATGCATATAAATACTTTAGCAGTGACTAGCACTAATTATTATTATCAGATGCTACTATCAGAGATTTGGAGAGGTAAGGATCAAACCCAGGACCGCATGGATGTTAAGCAAGTATTCTACCACTGAACTACACCCTATCCCTCTATCAATAGATAGACAGATAGATAGATAGATGGATAGATATAGATAATAGATATACAGATACAGGTATAGATTTTTTTTTGCAAGTACTGGAGATCAAGCCCAGGGCTTCCAGTATGCAAGGCACTCCACTCGTCCTTTTTTTTTTATATTTTGTTTTTTAGACAGGTTCTTGCTGCTATCTTTGCCCTGACTGACCTCAAACTCAAGATCCTCCTGCCTCTACCTTCTGAGTAGCTGGGATTACAGGCATGCACCACCATCCCCAACTTCTATCACAGATTTTTACTGTAAGTGGACACTCCAAGGCAGGAGGGAGCCCTCATTCCTACACATACTAAGAGTTAATGGGGACTCAGTACTTACTGTGTGACAGAGTCTGTTCTAACCACTTGACATTCATTGACTCATTTAATCCTCCCAACAATTCCTTGAGATAATAGCTAATGGTATTAACTAATGGCATTATCTCTACTTTTCAACTGAAGAAACAGAGACATATAGAAGTTACATCACTAACAATAATCACATACACAATAATGGTGAAGTCTTATTCAAATCCAGACAGTCCAGTTCCAGGATCTTGGTTCTTTAACTATGATGTTACACATACCTCCTCATGTGCAAACTGTCCCGAGACACAAGCACACACTAACAGCCACAGTCCTTCTTGATTGTGTCACATACTGGTCCCCCACACTGAGAGTTGTTCTCACATGCTGACAGTTCACCAAGAACCGTGGAGATGCCCTTGGCCTCACACACTCCAGATGATATGCAGTCAGCCACATACCACCCAGAACCTCTATGACAGGGGCAGCACATTAATCTCTCTTTCAGAGCCCAGGTTCCCAAGGAACATCAGAGCTTGGTGGGCCCTTACCCAATCTCCCTTGGAATCTTTCCAGCAATACAACCCTGAAGGCCACACCTGCAGATTGGGACAGATGGATGAGGCCACAATAGGAAGGGACTCACCAAATCACACAGTAGCTAGCCATGGCTGAGCTGGACCATCAACCATTGATTTGGCTTTGCCTTGACTGTGGGGGCCTCCCCCCAGCTCAGGAGGTTGCTTTCCTGGCCTTTCTCTTTGTGCAGACTTAGTGCCTGGGCCAGGCTCCAGATCCCAGAAAAGTCCAGGGGATCTTCCCGTTCCTCTTGCTTCCCCCAACTCATCTGGAGCCCAGGAAGGGGGAGGGCCTCCCACATCCCATCTGGGGCCAGACCCCTGCTTAGCTGGGAGTGAAGCCCTTGTCCCTGTTGCTTGCTTTTACTCCACACTTTCTTCCTACCAAAGGTGCTGGGACCCAATACCACTCCCTCTGCTGCCCTCACAGAGGGAGGGTCCATCCAGTCCCAAACATGCCAACCTCACATACACATGCACAGAAAAATGTGCAGATGTAAATATACAATGCGTACTCACATACATGCCTTTCCCCTTCTCCCATCTCTTTCCTCTTCTCTCCAGAGCCCTTTCTTTCTAACGACTTCCCCATATTTAATGAAAAATTCCCACTGGAGATCTCCATGCACAGTGAGAGCAATAACCGGGTTCTAATCCTATTCACCACCTTGTCACTATAGCCAAGGTGTCTAGCTGTTCAGAGCCACCATCACTTCCAGTGAGATGGGAATAAAGACCTTCCTCCTAAAGATGCAAGACAGTTAAATTAGATAATTTGATTAACTGCTTAGCATGGTGTCTGGCATGTAGCAACTACTCAGTAAATGAAGACTGTAATAAGGTTGAGTGAAATGCTTTGAAAATTTGGCAGGACTGTATACAAAGTGAGTCTCCCAATTCCTGCCACATGAGTTAAGCAAGACAGGAATTAGTAGTAATTTCCCAATGAGAAAATTGAGGCTCAGTCTGGTGAAGCTGGAATGAGGATTCAGATCCCTGGATTTCAAAGCCACCCCATGCTGCTGGCAGAAAGTGAATTGTAAATGACCATGTGTAGGCACCAGTAAGGAAGGATGATGCTGTCTGGCCCAGAGCTCTGAGAAGGGAGGGAATGTGTCCTTTATACCTTCCACTCAGGGCTACCAGAGATGTCCAGTGGTCCAGCCAAAGTTTATGTCTTCTGTTTTCAGGTGATGCCCTTCCTCTAAGGAAACCTTTAGCGTGACACTGGAGGAAGGGGTTGTCCCCCTCCTCCCATCTGGCCATGATGAACACTTCAGCCCCACCTGCTGTCAGCCCTAACATCACTGTCCTGGCACCAGGAAAGGGTCCCTGGCAAGTGGCTTTCATTGGGATCACCACGGGCCTCCTGTCTCTGGCCACAGTGACAGGCAACTTGTTGGTACTCATCTCCTTCAAAGTCAACACAGAGCTCAAGACAGTCAATAACTACTTCCTGCTGAGCCTGGCCTGTGCTGACCTAATCATTGGCACCTTCTCCATGAACCTCTATACCACATACCTGCTCATGGGCCACTGGGCGCTGGGCACACTGGCCTGTGACCTCTGGCTGGCCCTGGACTACGTGGCCAGCAATGCCTCCGTCATGAATCTGCTGCTCATCAGCTTTGACCGCTACTTCTCTGTGACCCGACCCCTGAGCTACCGTGCCAAGCGCACTCCACGCCGGGCAGCTCTAATGATTGGCTTAGCCTGGCTGGTTTCCTTCATCCTCTGGGCCCCAGCCATCCTCTTCTGGCAATACGTGGTAGGGGAGCGGACAGTGCTAGCTGGGCAGTGCTACATCCAGTTCCTCTCCCAACCCATCATTACCTTTGGCACAGCCATGGCTGCCTTCTACCTCCCTGTCACAGTCATGTGCACACTCTATTGGCGCATCTACCGGGAGACAGAGAACCGGGCACGGGAGCTGGCGGCCCTGCAGGGCTCCGAGACACAAGGCAAAGGAGGTGGCAGCAGCAGCAGCTCAGAGAGGTCACAGCCAGGGGCAGAGGGCTCACCAGAGACTCCTCCAGGCCGCTGCTGTCGCTGTTGCCGAGCTCCCAGGCTGCTGCAGGCCTACAGCTGGAAGGAAGAAGAGGAAGAGGATGAAGGTTCCATGGAGTCCCTCACATCCTCGGAGGGTGAGGAGCCTGGCTCTGAAGTGGTCATCAAGATGCCCATGGTGGACCCCGAGGTGCAGGCCCCCACCAAGCAGCCCCCTAAAAGCTCCCCGAATACGGTCAAGAGGCCCACCCGGAAAGGGCGTGACCGAGCTGGCAAAAGCCAGAAGCCCCGTGGGAAGGAACAGCTAGCCAAGCGGAAGACCTTCTCACTGGTCAAGGAGAAGAAGGCAGCCCGAACCCTGAGTGCCATCCTGCTGGCCTTCATCCTCACCTGGACACCGTACAACATCATGGTGCTGGTGTCCACCTTCTGCAAGGACTGTGTTCCTGAGACCCTGTGGGAGCTGGGCTACTGGCTGTGCTATGTCAACAGCACCATCAACCCCATGTGCTATGCACTCTGCAACAAAGCCTTCCGGGACACTTTCCGCCTGCTGCTGCTCTGCCGCTGGGACAAGAGACGATGGCGCAAGATCCCCAAGCGCCCTGGCTCTGTGCACCGAACCCCCTCCCGCCAATGCTGATGGCCCCCTTTCCTGCATCCTTCCACCCCAGCCCCAGGGAGAGGTCGATGGAAAGCGGGCAGGGGCTGTGTCCTCAGCCCCAGGGCCCAATCGAGCCTGACCGGGCTTCCCGGTCTCCTGGGTCACCTTCCTGGACAGCCCAAGGAGACCTTGCCAGCTTTCCAAACTTTGCTATTCCCAGGCAGGGATTGAAACCTGGGGAACTGGTTTTTTGTTCCCTGCTGTGTGGGAATGGGTTCTTCACCAGGAAGGCCAGGGGGGAGGATCCGGGCTTTGGACTCCTTGTTTGCCTTTATTCAGGAAGTCAGGAGCCAGCAGGGCGGGCAAGGAGTTTAACATTGCAGTCTTCTTTGGCCCAGCAGGGAACCTGGCTTGCAGTGGTTGATAGTGCCCCCTAGGGCTTACTGCAAGGAATTGACACCAACCACTGAGAAAGAAAAACTTGGCTCAGAGAGAGCTGGGGAGAATCCCTGGCTGAGATCCCCTTCCTGCACAGGCAGAGCCTCACCAGCTATGCCCTCACACACTCTCCGAGGATTGTCCAGCCTCCCTACAAATGTCTCCAGAGCATCCCTATATGGGTCACTTCTGAGGCAGGAGATGGTACCTGAGGGGATCAATTTGGCTGGTCACATATCAAGTCCCAAGGCAGCAGCAGGACCAGACACCAGGCATCCTAACTGTCCCACTATGTCATTTTCCTAGGGGACAAGGGCATGGGAACTTGCTATCCAGCCCCACACCCATCATCCCCTCCTCTACCCCAGAGTAACCTCAGTCCCTCCTTCCTGGCTTATAGCCACCACCTGGATGGATCTGCTGGATCTGTTCTGTGCAGATCTAGCCAGACCTCCTGCATGCTGCCTGCCTCTAGCCCTGCCCCACACAGGCCTGGCCCAGCCAACAGGTTCTCTCCTGTGAGCTCCCCAATCCAACCATGCATGGCCTCCCAGCCACACTTCCCTCCAGGCCCAGCCTGGCCCCAAATGTTCTTTCCTTCCATCCTCAGCGTGTGCTGAGTCTGTGAATAAAGCCACATAACCAGCAGGCACCAAGGATCCTTCTTTCCTGTGTTGGCTCAAGACCAGGACAGAATGGGGCAGGGAAAAGTGCAAGTACCGTGGAATGTGGGCTGCTGCCCTAAAGGTGGTTCCAAGAAGGGCAGCACTGTATGGCTAGAGCAACCACACCATGTGGGACCCAAAGTCCAGGGGTCCATAGCTCAGGTGAGTGGGGCTGGCCAGGCAGACCTGGCCTTTAGAACTTGGGCACGTGGGAGAAATGAACTGTCCCTGCTTGGATCCCTGTATATCCTCTATTTGACCTGCCATACATGGTTTCTCTGGGAGCTGTCACACCCAACAAGAACAGAATTTCAAGCCCTGGTTTGTAGATGGGGAAACTAAGGCCCAAAGACCTGGGAGAATTGCTCAGGGTTACCCCCACAAATCAATACCTAGGCTTCCAGGCAATTCACAGCTTCCTGACCCCCACATTATGGAGATGACAGTCCTGGGATACTCCAAACCATTTTAGTGACCTTTGGGTCATGTCATAAGGTACTTCATTAGTGAAGGATACCCAAAGATTATGCAAAAGAGCCAAGAAAAGTTTCCTCCCATCTAGAGCAGTGGTTATCTAAGTGTGGTGGTGGTTGGGGGGTAGGGGAGGTCCCAAAGACCACCCTTAGGATCAATAACTTGCAAAAGAACACACAAAACTTAGCAGAGCTCTTAGAGTCACAGCTACTATTTATTACAGTGAAAGAACACAGAAAAAAACAGCAACAGAAGAAAGTGCACAGGATAGAGTCCAGGAGAGACCAGGTACAAGCTTCCAATTGTTGTCTGTCATGAAGTCACAGAGGCAGTGCCAACAAACATGACATATTGACAGAAAGAAAAGTTCACTGGAACCTTGGTGCCCAGTGTGTTTACTAGAGGTTGAGCATGAATCTACATGGCTGACCAGACACATGGTTAACCTCAGTTAGTCTCCAGCCTCTCTCGAGGTTAAACCCATCCAGTGTGGCCCAAGGCCTCCACCATAAATCACATTTTTAGCATAGACTATCTGGTTTGGGCCCAGGTGCACAGATAAGCAAAAATACTCTTCCAAGCAGTATATTCCAGGGGCTTGGTATTATCTCCCAAGGGCCAAACAAGGCCAAGCCTTTCTTTAAAATACACAGGATGTGGACAACTCAGACCTTCTGAGTTAACAGTGGTCCAGACCAAAAGCATCAGTACTACCTGGGAACTTGTTAGGTAAATTCTTGGAGTCACCCAAGAAAGTCTGAGGGTGAAAAACAGCCATCTGTTTTAATAATCACACTCCAGATGATTCTGATGACAACTGAAATTGGAGAAAAACTGTCCCAAAGAGATGAAGTCCTGGGTGGGGCTTAACCCATGCAGAGGGAGAGGTGGGGATTCACCCTACACACTGCTCCCACGACTCCCAGAAGCCTTCGGAAAGGAATCTTCCAACACTATAGATAAGGACAGTCCACTGAAGAGATGGACAGGACAGTGTAGCCAGTGCCAGCAGGAAGTACAGCTCTGTAGGAGTGACTCTCAAATGTAAGCCCTGTACCCCTATCCCACCGGCACAGCTCCGTAGATTATCAGCTCAGCACCCTGAGAGGGCCCCCCTCATGGCTCTGAGCCCTCTTTGGGGATAAATGTCCTGCTTTGTGTCAAAAGCATTGGAACTGAGGTCTCAGGAGACGTAAGGACTGAGGAAGCTGAGCAGCATTGGGAAAATGGAAGCTTTGGAGTCAACTGACCCGGCCTCTACTGAAGACAAGAGTGGAGTGGGAGGTGTCAAAGATGGTATCAGGATCAGGAATGGGGCTAGCAGCTCACACTTGTCCTTTGTTCCTTATCCCAGGAAACTCACCATGGTGTAGTACCTGCCATGTCCCCCACCAAACAACCTTAGGCATATCTCCTATCCTCAGTGTCCTCATCTCTGTAATAAGAATGAGCCCCTTGTAAAAGAGCCAAGAAGATGAGACAGACCACGGAGAAAGCTCATGTGGGTTATATAGTCAGCGTCACCAAGGATGAGGCTGCCACAGGCAAAGTCCAAAAACCAGGTATCGGTTCAGACCCAGTGCTTTCCCTACACCTCCATCCTGGCTATGGAAAGCCTTGAGTCCCATTCCCATAGTCCAGGGAGAAGAAACTCACATCCTGACATGACTTGGTTAAAGAAGAAATTCAAGTGGCCAGAAAACACATGAAAAAATGCTCACCATCTCTAGCAATAAAGGAAATGCAAATTAAAACCACACTAAGATTCCACCTCACCCCTGTTAGAATAGCCATCATCAGCAACACCACCAACAACAGGTGTTGGCGAGGATGCGGGGAAAAAGGAACCCTCTTACACTGTTGGTGGGAATGTAGACTAGTACAACCACTCTGGAAAAAAATTTGGAGGCTACTTAAAAAGCTGGACATCGATCTACCATTTGATCCAGCAATACCACTCTTGGGGATATACCCAAAAGACTGTTACTCCAGAGGCACCTGCACATCCATGTTTATTGCAGCACTATTCACAATAGCCAAGTTATGGAAACAGCCAAGATGCCCCAGCACTGACGAATGGATTAAGAAAATGTGGTATCTATACACAATGGAATTTTATGCAGCCATGAAGAAGAACGAAATGTTATCATTCGCTGGTAAATGGATGGAATTGGAGACATCATTCTGAGTGAGGTTAGCCTGGCCCAAAAGACCAAAAATCGTATGTTCTCCCTCATATGTGGACATTAGATCAAGGGCAAAACACAACAAGGGGATTGGACTATGAGCACATGATAAAAGCGAGAGCACACAAGGGAGGGGTGAGGATAGGTAAGACACCTAAAAAACTAGCTAGCATTTGTTGCCCTTAATGCAGAGAAACTAAAGCAGATACCTTAAAGCAACTGAGGCCAATAGGAAAAGGGGACCAGGAACTAGAGAAAAGGTTAGATCAAAAAGAATTAACCTAGAAGGTAACACCCACGCACAGGAAATCAATGTGAGTCAATGCCCTGTATAGCTATCCTTATCTCAACCAGCAAAACCCCTTGTTCCTTCCTATTATTGCTTATACTCTCTCTACAACAAAATTAGAGATAAGGACAAAATAGTTTCTGCTGGGTATTGAGGGGGGGAGCGGGAGGGGGTGGAGTGGGTGGTAAGGGAGGGGGTGGGGACAGGGGGGAGAAATGAACCAAGCCTTGTATGCACATATGAATAATAAAAGAAAAATGAAAAAAAAAAAAAAAAGAAACATGCCTGAGCAGGAGAGGGAGTATAGAAAAGGGAAGCTTCCCAGAAATGGTGTCTGTGTCCTGCAGTCCTCTGAAGCAGAATTCCTGCATACCTAGTGACCACTGAATGGAGAAAATGACATGAGCTGGAAGGGAGAGTGGCTCAGTGGACATCCTTCCTCTCCAAACACCGCACCCACTCTAGCCCTGAGGGAGGCTTTCTTTACCCCAGAAAAAAAGGTTTTTTTGTGCCTGAGCAGGAAGGAGGGAGAGAATGAGGTTAACTTGTGAATACCACCTCCTCCTCTACCACTACACTAGATTGGAACAGACCTGGGAGAGAGGGAATAGGTTAGGAATCCTCTCACTTCTCTCACCCCTACCCTCCCCTACTTCCATTCCCACTGTGTCACTTTGGCACCACCTGCTGGTAATTAAGGGACTAGCCTGCCAAGGAACCTAGCCCTTGCACCTACTTGGTGCAAGCAAGGCCCAAGCCTGCTTCCTGTGCAACGGGGCCACAGGACAAATGATAAGAGTAGGTGGTCTTGGTCACCCCAGATGCTGCCCCCAAACTTCAGCAGAACTCAAAACCCCAGAAGTATTAGCTCATTTGGCTCCAACTCTAAACATGCAGAAACAGACACAGACTTCGGCCAGCTTTGGAACCTCGGGGTCAACTCCATCTTCTCCCAGAGCCTCCAAGATCTTTGGGATCCTTGCCAGAAAGCTGCTTCTGGTTTCACAGACTCATGACAACCCAAATGAAAACTCAATCAGGAACCTGCTCACCTTTAGAGCAGAAATACCTTTCGAAAACCTAGGTGCCCTGTGCCAGCCTCAGGATCCTTTTAAAGGGCCTGGGGTTATTGTTTCTGATGTCTTTGCTTTTAGCATCTTCAGTAACAAACTGCAGAACTACTAGAATATCACACAAAGTAGGCCTGAAAACAGTTTTTACTCTTCCTTCCCAATCCCTGTCCTTCCCCGCTCCTGGGTTCCTCTCTCTAAGTTATTTCTGACCTGCCTGAACCTACCATTCACACAGTTGAACTTGCCAGAAAGCTGGGTGTCAGCCTAGACTCCTCCCTTGTACTTCCTGTATGCAGTATACCTCTGAATAATTCCCAAATTCCATCACTTTTCTCCATCCCACAGCTACAATACAAGTGCAGGCTTCCTGCCTGAAGTACCGAAACAATCCCTTAATTCACAGATTAGCAAACTTTTCTGTAAAGGGCCAGATAGAAAATATTTTAGACTCTGCAAGCTAAGAAACAAAACCAAGGATATTAAATTAGTACTCATATTAATATATAGTCTTTACCTTTGCTGTCAAAAAGCAGCTATGGCCGGGTACTGATGGCTCACACCTGTAATCCTAGCTACTCAGGAGGCAGAGATCAAGAGGATCTCAGTTCGAGCCAGCCCAGCCAAATAGTTCATGAGACCCGATTTCAAAAACCCCTTCACAAAAGTAGGGCTCAAGGTGAAGCCCTGAATTCAAGCCCCAGTACTGCAAAAGAAAAATAGCCATAGACAATATACATAAGCAAATGAGCATGGCTGTGTTCCAATAAAATTTTATTTGAATCTCACATAATTTTCATGTGTCACAAAACATTATTCTTCTTTTGATTTGTTTTTTGCCCTTTTAAAAATGCAAATTCCAGCTGGGCATAGTGGCACAGGCCTATAATCCCATCTTCTTAGGAAGAATGGCCACCTGTTGGAGGCCAGCCTGGGCTACATAGTGAGACCTATTCTCAACTAATAAA